CAGAGTCCAGGCCCAGAGACCAGAGAAAAGAGCTGGGTGGAGGGACATGCTGGGACTTCCTGCACACACGGGGAGGGCCATGTGACATCCTTTAGGATCTGATACAACAGTGGCATGCTTTCTCATCACTCGAATTCACCAAGGAGGCCTTTAAACTCAACACCAGAGAGTGAAACCTGTCATCAGCCACGTCTGCCAAACATTACATTTTACTCCATAGCAGCTCTGAGGTTAGACAGCCTACTACTGGGAGAGTTTATATGTAGAACCAAACAGCGTGGTTCATAATCACACGCAAGTCACTCTCTTTGGATGAAACACAAACACCTTCTGATCTCTGACACCCTGATTCTAACCGTGGTTCAGATTCGCCTGATATAATATTACGAGGAGGAGCCCTTGGAATAAATTCCTAAATCCAGATTTACCATGATCTTTCTCACCAACTGGGTTAGTTCTGGGGCCAAGGGAATCAAGCCACTTCAGGAACCCAAACATTTTCTAAGTGTGGATGGTTTTTCAATAGATGTAGAGGCCTCCAGATAAACAACCACCTTTTCAACCAGCTGCATTTAAATCCACACACTGCTCTTTCCAGGATATTTCCTCCAAGCGTCACACTGAAAAATTCCAGTCAATAGCGGCGAAGGTCCCATGTCCTACCCTCAGGGGTGAAGGACTGGGAATTATTTTTGAGAAGAAGAAAGGGAAATAAGACAGGAAGGAGAATGGGTTTGCACGGAGCTCTCTGCCCTCCATTTCCCCATCCTCCTTAAAGTCAGAGATACATAAGGTTAAGGTCGCTGGGCTTGTGGGTCAGGTGGGCCTTGGATCCAAGGGAAGCACATCAATGAAATGCATCCTAAAGAAATCTGTATGTTCTTAGCCTGCAGGGAATTATAAAACCCTGACATTTCGCTTAAGAATGTTATGTATATGGTATCATGAGCATCTTTATAGGAAGAGTCTTTATAACTTTTATGAGATTCCAAAAAAAGATGCCCATGTCCTAACAAAGCTTAAGGAGTCTTGCAAGGGAAAACCAACCAGATGCAAATAGCACTGCCCCGAGGCATCTTTCTTTAATATTCGGGATTGTTTTGAGACTTCTTGTTCATCAGCTGTTCCAACATCCCCATAAAGCAAAATATAAATCCCTATTTTTGCCTGGAGAAGATACTAATACCGGCAGGTGCTTAAAGGATGTATTTACTTTTTCTGCTTCTTACAAGTAAACTCCAATGTAGAGGAGAAAGCCTATGTTAAAATCGGGTGCTACAGCGTTCTATAAATCTGAAATGACTTCCAAATAAAAGTTTAAAGAAACAAACAAAAAAACTTGGGTGTGATCTGGATTTGGTAGTATATTCAGAAACGCCTCCATGGAGCCGAGTTTTAATAATCCAGACACCTCCTTTCTCCTCTGCATACCGAGTTTAAAATCATTATCTCGCTCTGCAGGAAACTGTCATTTTCTTTAAGCTGCAGAATTAGGCAAAGGTCACCGCTTCACATAAGGCTCGGGAGCCTGTGAGCTGTCCGGCACGACAACTACAGATGCCAACGAAATAACGGTTAGATGGCCGAGTAAAGTAACAACGAGGTAAAAAATAAATGAGACACTCTCATTGTCCCACAGGCCTTTTACTCTCCAAAAGAAAAAGAAAAAATAAATCAAACCGAGGTGATAAAGCTCTTTTGAAGTCTCATGATCTGATGAGCTCTCCCTTGCTCACCCTCGGATGGAGCTCAGTGACCCGGCCTTCCGCACGCCAGCGCCGTGAATGGTGCCCTGTGTCCCCGGAGCGGTCCCCACTGCCTGCTGAATGGATCTCAAGTGTCACAGCTGACCCCAGAAACACCTGTGTTCGATTCAGAAGGGCGTGACTCACAGAGACAACCGCAGGCTGGGGGTGATGGGTAGGGACTCCTCCCTCACTAAAAGAATTACACTTTTAAAGAAATTCACTTTTAAAATCGAGCTCCTCAGACAAGGGGCTGTTTCCTACTTATTTTGTAGCCCACATTTGCTATTTATTTTTCTATCCTGAGTAACTAGCACAATGTCAGGTACTCAATAAGTGCTAAGTAATTTTTGTTGCTGTTGTTAACCCCCACCCAAGGATAATTCTTCCATTGGTTTTTAGAAAGAGTGGAAGGGAAGGAGGGAGAGGGGTGGGAGAGAGAGAGAGACATTGAATGGAGAGAGACCAATTGATTGGTTGCCTCCCGCATGTGCCCCAACTGGGGCCAGGGATGGAACCTGCAACCCAGGCACGTGCCCTTGACCGGAAGTCGAACCCGAGACCCTTCGGTGTGCAGGCCGATGCTCTAACCACTGAGCAACACTGGCCAGGACCCTAAATAATTTTTTTAATGCATTTTTGAAACTTGCTTTTTTGTGCCACCATTAACTTCTTAGAAAGCCACTGATCTATCTGTGATGCGAAGGTTAACTAGCTCAGCACTGTGACAATCTCTGAGTTAGAATACTGTAGTCCCAAAGAAGTTTCACTATAAATATTAAACCATCCAATGGTCCTGGTTTCTTTGTACTAATGGTACTTTTACATCTGTCCTTTAAAAACTTATTATTTTAATTTTTATATCTATCTTGAGAGAGAAAGAACAGAGATTTCTTTCAGTATCAAGAGAAGAACTGAAAGGTAAATTCAGACCAGGCCCTATAGACATTCAATAAACACCAAGGATGAATCAAGGAAGGGCAGGTTTAAATCTCCATGGGTTCAGTCAATTTTGCTTCTCATCAACTTCAGGGAGAAAAAAGCAATTCCTGGACATTTCTGAGACAGATTAAATCTCAAAACTCAAGGCCTCACAGAATGACTGCAATTTTCAGCATGACACTCTAAGTTTAATTATTTTTAAAAATCAACCCTATAAGACCTAAAGAATAATTTGAGTTGCATTTGTGGTTGTCCTCATGCTAGCTTGGACCAAAGACATATTTAGCAATGGTTAAAAAGTTAGGAAGATAATTTTAAAGAATCCAATTTCCAACTTTGGCTATATAAACTGTGGCGAAGATTATATTACGCCAAACACATATATTAAGAAGGAACATTTTAAACTTTGGAGGCTCAATGTTTAAGTCATACATAGGACACATGTTCACAATAAAGGATGAGCTTTAGATAAGAGAGGAGAAATGGAAAAGCTTGGTTCAGAGAGGAAAGAAAATCCCTCCAGAACCCTGTAACTGGCTGCATGCCAGATTAAATGACAGCTCTTGGTTGAACTAGATTTATCAGGTGATCACTTAGTAAGTTATATAATGTCTAATCACTGAGTTGGACACCTGAGATTAATATAATATTGTATGTCAACTGTACTTGAAAAATAAAAAGTTATTTAAAGTTTTAAAAAAAGTATTCAATAGTGGGAACACTTGTTTATGTTGAATCCACAAATGAATTTCAGTTTTGAGTAAAAAGAGGTAGAATTTCAATTACAGAAACACACCAGAAAGGAATTAGGTCATTTTAATGCCTTATCAGATTTGAGTATGCTGTTTAAAAGATAAATTGTAATTCGGGTTTCAGTTTTTACAGACTATCTCTGACTACTAAGCAGATCTTTTTGTTGCCAGAAGGCTAGCAGAGGAAAAAAATCCAAACAAACTGAGAAAGAAAAGATCTTCACCAAAACAGTGGGAACAGATATTTCTTTTTATGCTTCTCTTTACTAAAACAAAATGTTATCGGCAAGTTGAACAGCTTTTGAGCCAATATGTGAAACTTGGTAATTACTCCTGGATGAAATTTTTGATCTAAAAAGTCATGCATAAGCCAAATTTAACTAAAAATAAAAATAAAATGTTATACTCCTAAATGAGTTTTTTTGCACAGCCAGGGAGAGACATAGACTAAACTACCACTTAAATTCATTATCCATCTCTATTTTCACATGGGTGATATTTGCTGGTCTTTTAGAGGTGCATTAGAAGATTATACAATTATTCTTAGAGCGGGGTCAGCTGCTGAAATGCCGATGTGTTTAAGGCTTCTTCGTTATCTTCCACTGAGTGATACATATCATAACTGAGGAATTCATGGAGCATTGCCCAGATAAAAGGACCACAAAAAGTAAAAAAGAAATAAAAATTTAAACAGAAAAATTTTCAAAGGTAAAACTGGCCTGTGATGCCTTCCTATCACAATGACATATTCTGAATTTAGGATTTTACTATTCTGTATAAGCTTTCAAGTGATAACACTCGATTTAATAGTTAAAATTCACCCCTCTGCAGGGATGAACTTAAATGCTCTAAGTATGTAAGCCTGTAATTATTACCACAGTCCATACTTCATTCAGTTGACTGGCATACGCCACACTGAGACCCTAAGTATGGGTCCAATTTGCACATGGATCAACCATCCACCTCACTGCCAATGTAAAATCCACATATTCCTAGAGCAGCAACTTGGAGACTCTGCTTTGGAGCCACAGAGAAGTGGGCTAATAATAATAAAAAAGGTTATTATTATTAGTATTGCAAACCTGGGTAAGTTACTCAAGCTTTCTGAGCTTCAGTTTCCTTACCTGTAAAATGCAGATAATTCATGTCTCTCAGTCATAACCCTGAGGTGGGTATTGATTGCAACGTGTACACGATGTTGGTAAAGAACTCAGCAGTGTCGGGCACTAGGTAAGTTTTGGCAAGTCCCTTCTTGCTTGCAGTCTGAGGTCAGAGCAGGGCACCAAGGGCAGACAATACACAGTGATGGGAATGCTGTCCCTAGACAAAGGTGCTTACCAGTCTATCTGGCGTTGTGCACTTTAATTAATGGGTCAGTGGTAGCCCAGGATCCTGGGCAGCTTCATTATACATGAAACATTCTTATAGCCACTTTAGTTTTAACTCTCTCTACCCAGCCCCTTCCAAAAATAACTCTGTGACACAGGAACCAGAAGACTATTACTCTCACTCACGAGGCAATGAGCACTGAAAAATGTACTTAAGTTATTTTACTCCGTACCTTTTCGATTTTTTCATCCAGCATTCTGAAGAATTCTTGTTGGCTCTCAGAGATGTGCATGCTGAAAAACAAAGAGCAGTGAGTGCATATTTCAATGTTTTCTTAAACCTCACTCCCTCAAGAAACATGCTGAGTCCCTAAGCTCGGAGGCAGGCATTTATTATTGCAGTCTTCCCCACAGAACTACTCTGAAGCTATAGTAAGACTAAGCGTTATTACAGCAATCCTACAAATGCATTGCATAACAGCCTATCAGTGCCTATGATTTAAGAAATACAATTTCCTGTCAATGTACATGTTATTTATAGTGATGGGACTGGGAGATGTGGGGAATTTTTTCTTCAGATACACATATAGGATTTAACGAAGGACAGGCAAGCTAGTTATTGTATGGAAATGTGTGTTTTACAAAGGTTGTCAGCATCAGCGTGATAGTCAGCTGACTGTCTAGGTGTGGGCTGACAGCCGATGAGCTGAGAACTTGACATTGGCCCTGGGCGCCTTCTGCATTGGTGACAGCGAATGCACCTCCCGGGGACAGAAATTCCAGTGAAATAAAGGAAAAGTCAGGAGGCAGGTCTGGGTAGCACGTGCCCTGTGTGTTTGCTTGTCCTGCCCCATCTGACAGCATTCGGTGAGATGAACGTGGTGACACGGGCAAGGAGAGCAGAGAGGATCCCCGACAGGAAGGGCAGGGGGAGGAAGGGCCTTGCACGGAGCATGGTTTTAACGACCAGAGTTCTGGGTCCCAAGGAGGTTCAGGATGCTGGGGTGAGAGACACGTTGCACAGTGTTTCTTTCACTTACTGGTAGTGTGGATTGGTTGCCGTGGCTGGGAGGGGGGAGAAGAGAGAGTGGCTCTGGAATAGTTTCTTCCCTTCAAACCTAGGTGTGTGAGCAGCCCACCTGATACAGCCCTTAGCGTGATGTCTCGTCACTGGGGCCGCAGAGAGCGACACAAGTGACCCCAAACCCTTCATCCCTCCCATGACAGACAATGGGGCTCCAAGGAGGCTTTCCCCTGTGTGTCAAGCCAAGATTTAAAATCTGGGAGCACAGCGACATCAGCTCTGATATTAAAGGAAAACAATAAAAATATCTGAGCCGTGATCAACTGCACGGGTATAAAGCACGTTCACACGGGTCGTGTAATTTCTGCTTCCTTCCAATGCTCACTGAAATCAGGCGAATGAATGCCCGGTTTCGGAAACAGGCCAGCTCACTGCAGGTTAGGAAGGCGGGCAGTCTGGGGAGACGAGAATTTAAACAGTCTCCCCTCTCTCTGGCCGGACAGAAAGCCACTATGCAGAGCTGCGTTTTCCCAGATTCCTCATGTCAGACTTTGTCCAGTGCCAAACTTTTTTATTTGAGCCGCTTTGGATGCAAACCTCCTAAACTGTATACTCTCTCCTAGAGGCTCTACCCCAAACCTTACTCAACTTCCAGTTCCAGGAGCTGAAATCACAGCACTCTTCTGGGAAACCCCAGAGCCTTCTTTAAGCAAAACCGCCTTGAACTCCAGGCGTTTGCTCTCTGCCTGCTTTTGAGCTTTTTCTCTCGTTTCTTCTTGTCAGAGGAGGTATCGGTCCTCTTTTGGTTTCCTTCCCGGTTGCTGCTTCTACCCGGTGCTTGGAAACAGCACAGCCAAATCGTGAGAGTTGTGTCTGCAGGGGGATTTCTTGTGAGCCGGGAACATGAATATTCTGGCGCACACTGGGGCTGCTCAGACATTTTTGGGGCATCCCCCCTCTTGGCCAAGCTCTCTGCAGATAAGGTGGCTAGACAGCTCTGGGTCCCAGAAAGGAAAGGCAGGAATATATAATCTCTTATTACAGATAACTATATATATATATATATATACACACACACATATAAGTTTCCCTAATAAAAGAGACCTGATAAAAACAATATTTTTTGGATTTTATGTTCATCGTGGGAACTTTTGTATTAAATTTTTTTTATAGCATATATTGCCCTGCATGTAACAGGAAGGCAATAAATGGCATTAATTGACCATGTGGTCTCTATTTAAATGCATGTGATTCATGAGCTCACAGAGGCAGCCCAGTTTGTTAGCAGGGGTGAGGCGCAGACCTCTGATTCCCCATCTGTAAAACCGGCGGCCAGTCTGAGGTCCCTTCCGGCACTAACATTCTAGAACTATTACTAACTTCCACTCACTCCTTTACTGAACTATCACAACATGAAAACAAGGATGGGTGGTTAGTACTCGGCATATGCACTTGATGGGCAAGGGGAAGTCTCAATTCAAGCAACTCTCCAGAGGGGTCTGCCTTCCCGTGATCAAGGATGCCCAGGCTCGCTTAAGAAAAAGAACACAACCTCACAGACACGGACGACAGCATGGTGATCACCGGAGGGAAACGGGGGTGGGGAGGGAGAGGAGGGTAAATAGGGGATAAACGGTGATGGAAGGAGACCTGACTAGGGGTGGTGAACACAATACAATAGACAGATGATGTTTTATAAAACTGTATACCTGAAACCTATATCATTTTATTAACCAATGTCACCCCAATACATTCAATAAAAAAAGAATGCCAGGCTCAGGGGTCCACATCAGGAGCTTAGGACCAAGGGTGATGGTGATGGCCTCAAGATGGTAAAGCAAAAACAAAAACCTCAGTGGTTGCAGGTTGGTGTGGTTTTGCTACATGCTTTGTAATCATTAAAAACAAAAACAAAAAAGCAGATATCCCTTGATTAAAACAAACTGGAGGAAAGCCGCCCAAGCCAGAATTAATTAGACAAGGCATGCATTTCCGACTCCACCTGGATCTGGAACTAAGTGCTAACCCTATCTGGGCTAGGGGTCCAAGTCGGGAAGTAAATACCACTTTCGCTTTCACCCGCGCCCTCGGAGGAGCAGTTCTAACCAAGCGAGGCAGCCAGCCCTCCATCGGGCCTGCCTCCAGGATCCCAGGCCTCACGCAGAAGCGCCGCCCGATGCTCCCTGCCTGAGAGCGGTCCCGCGGCCCTCCTGCCTCTGCCCCATGCAAAAACCTGCCGGGAGGAGTCACCCGCCAGACTGGGTCACCGTCTTGCCACCTTGAATACAGTACGTGGGCTGTGTTAGACGGAAAAGACTGAGTGGAAGGGTGGCTTATTTACTGTCAAATCCTGACGCTCTACACGAGCTCTCTCAGATAAACTCCGTTGTCCCTGAAAGTGTGGCAGACACGGCCTGATGGCACGAATGCCTGCGCAAGGTCCCTGTCATCTGTGCACCGTCTTAGGTAGGATGTACCTGAGATCCTGAGGCTTACTTGGCTGTCTTCCGTGGGTTCATTTCAGACAGAAGCCCTGAAATCCCTCCAACAGGGGCAGAGGCAGAATTTTTACTCTGATGAAATAAATTCACCTCTATCGACTGACTCCTGCTTAGATCAATGTGGATGCCCTCTTCTCAGATGGAAACCCCAGCAATGCAGTGGCGTTAATACTAGTTTTTATGGTCAAAGGTGTACACTGCACTGTGAGAAACAGTCCCTGGGTGACGACTCGATTCCTGAATGCTTCCTGAGGCACAATTTGATGATCGTGAGTGGGGAGCCAGGAGAAAAAGCACATTGCTTTCTACCTTTCCTCAAGGTATTACAAAGGAGTAATTGAATTGTTTATGATTTAGTTTAAAAAGTATGAATACTTGATGCTAAATTAGATCTAAAAATCTTACATAAAAGCCTGTATGTTGGTACCTGATTTAACTAATAAAGCTTAACAATTTCAGTAATTCCTGTTTCTTTCTAATAACCACAGCCCAACCTGGGAAAACCCAGCTCCCACGGAGGACTTCCCGTGGCCCCAGGTGATGTTGGCAAAGCTATTGTGGGTTGACCCCGAACCAGCCAAGGCTCTTCTTTCTGTGACCTCTCAACTTCGTGCGACTAGAGATGACAACGTGATGGAATCTTACTGACAAGTAAGCAATTGAACAGAAAGAAGGCGGGCAAAATGAGCTTTTGAGCTCAAAGGCATGCGGCTTTCATGTTCAATGACTTAAAAAAAAGTTCCCAAATAGTAAAAACTTAAGCCAGAAAAGTTATGAGAAAGCAAGGTCCTAATTCCCAATACGTCACCTGCAAAAATGAAATTCAGTTACTCGGTGGGTTCCCGGCAAATCTTGGCCCAAACGTGGTTATTTCTTCACGATCATCATTATTTTTCATTTGGACCTCAGGGCAGTGGGGTTAATCCTAATCCTTACATCAGAACACACCCTTGTTTGCAGCTCATGCATGCATGGCTCAGGCTCATTTTTACTTAATTATTATTATTATTATTTTTAAATAGTATAATAAACACCCACGAAACCAAAACAAAAGGCAAAAGATAGGGCCTTGTCAACAACCTAGAGCTAATTTACCTCCCGTCCTGACTTCCTTCAGTTGCTTTAACTTTATAAAGTGTGCATCAGGCTCTACGCAATCTCCCAGGGCTTACTCATTTCGTCTGGTATTACATGACTAGGTCCATCCAGCACTGTGCATTGCTGCAGTGCATTCATCTAAACCAATTTAAATATTAACTTTAAATGCTCTATTAGCTTGAATATTCCACTGTGTGAATACAGTGGAACTAATTTTCCCCACTTTCTTGTGAAAGGGCATTTGGCTGATTTCTGATTATTAAGGCGTTCTTACCAAGCCCCTGCGATAAGCACTGGGTGCACATTATTTCATTTATTCCCCAGTCCTGTGGGACAGGATTGCTCATCTCCATTTTACTTTGAGAAAACTGAAGCTCAGAGACATCAGGTCACTTGCCTGAGGTCACAAAGTTTGTAAGGATGTGTTTCATGTGTTGCATTGAATAAAGATGTGACAATTATCTGCCTTTGTTATGAATAGATCTGCCATTGTCTGGTATGAGATTGTCCTTCCACTCATGGGAAAAAACCTCTCATCTTATTTTATACAACTGCATAATAAATGCGTTTCCTTGATCCTGTGAGTCAGCAAGCAGGAAAAGTGAAACTCTTCTCCTGGGCCCCCCGGAAGATTTCTTATACAGTGGCGCCTCGGTTTTCGAACATCTCTGTTGGTGAACATTTCGGGTTGCGAATGCCGTAAACCCGGGAGTAAATGCTTCAGTTTTCGAACACTTCTCGGAAGTTGAACATGCCACACGGCTTCCGCTGAGGGCAAGATCCTGAGGCCTCTCTGTCGGCTGTGATCCTCGGTTCTCGAACATTTCAGAACTCGAACGGGCTTCCAGAATGGATCACATTCGAAAACCGAGGCACCACTGTATTGAATTCCAGGAACCTGTTGTTCTGACTCACAGTTTACCACACACACACACACACACACACACACACACACACACACACACACACACACGAGCATGCTGCTGTGTGGAAAACAGGATGTTCTTCATAATTTTGATGTAAACACATGAGCCAATTTAATCAGGTTCTCTGAGAGCCTCAGTCCATGCCAGTTTGCGAAGCGGGCTGTTCCAGTGCGTCAAAGTTAAATTAGTATTCACTCTAAATGAAAAAGAAATTCTCCTTAATCCAGTCTCTGCTTAGAACTCAGAGATAAGGGAAACATTTAAAAATAGCATGTATCAAATGGCTCGGATGAAAAGATGATTAGGTTCTGTCATCAGGTATCTGCTGTTCCCAAAGGCAGATACAGTCAGTGCAGATAAAAGTGATTCCCAGGGCGGTGAGCTAGGGAGGTCATGCCATTATACTGACATTGTAAATGATAAGTGGATTTTAAAATGTCTAGTTTTCTGTGAAGGTAAAAGTTTAATCCCTGCCTGGCCGGTGTGGTTGAGCGCTGACCCATGTACCAGGAGGCCCCTGGTTCGATTCCTGGTTAGGGCATAAGCCTGGGTTTCGGGCTCGATCCTCAGCAGGGGGCGTGCAGGAGGCAGCCGACTGATGTGGATGCTTCTCTCTCATCGATGTTTCTCTCTCTCCCCTTCTGTCTCTCTCTCTAAAATCAATAAAAACATATTTTTAAAAATGAAATCCTTGAACTCATTCACCACCCCCTGAAGAGTCCTAATTGCCACATCACAGTAGCTGTGGCTGAAGCAATGCCACAGACACTGACCAGGTTAAAGTGATTAGGATCTAGGTTATTTTTGTCTCGTTTTCCTGCGAGGAATCAGAGGTAACACAATTTCTTCTACTTATGGTTTTGACTTGTGAGGCAACTATTACATATATGTAACGGTCAAATTTATTTTGGAATGGGGTGATTGTGTCCAATTTACTAATGTGATTTGTAAAGGGAATATATTAACAAATATTTAGGGGAAACACCACAAAAAAGTGTCTTTGAAGAAAGGAGAGGTAGCTTTCATGTCACACGAAGTCCATTTTATTACTAAGGTAGATTCAGTTCTAGAACAATCTAGAAAACGACTCATTATTCGCTTTAACTTCTTAATTGTGAAACACATAACACAGAGTAAAGAAAACATATAATGTTCTTTGTCCATTTTTAAACAAGAATAAAGGGACACCCATGTAATCACCAGTCAGATTAAGAATTAGAACCCGTGGTCCCACTGTCTTCCACCCAGAAAGAACCGCTATTCTCAATTTAACGCCTTTTCATTTCCTTGCTCGTCTTGTTTTACCACAAATACATATATAATATATTGCTTAGTCCTGCCTGTTTATGAACTTTATAAGAATGAAACTCTATGTAGGGAGGCACTACTACTTACTTTACTGCTGTAACCTTACATTCGTGAGATTCTTTCATCTTGATATGTGTAGCTATAGGTTGCCCATTTTCACTGATATGTCGTATTCCCATCATAAGAATATGCCACATTTTTGTTAGCAATTATAGTTTCTTAAGTTTTTAAAAAAATTTTAAATTGATTTTTAGAGATAGAGGGAGGGCGAGGGAGAGAAAGAAACGTCGATCAGCTGCCCCCTGCACAGCCCCTACCGGGGATCGAGCCCAAAACCTGGGCATGTGTCCTGACTGGGAACTGAGCCAGCAACCTTTTGGTACATGGGACGATGCCGAGCCAACTGAGCCACACCGGACAGGGCTAGTCATTATATTTTTGATGGACATTCGGGTTTTACCTTCAAGAGCTCACAGAAACAGTGCTGCTATGGATATTTCCGCTGGCCCACATATACAAAGAGTTTCTCTAGAGCATGTACTCGAGAGTAAAGTTTCTGGGGAGAAGGGATGTGTAGGTACAATTTTACTACATAATGCAAACTGCTTTCCAAAGTAACTGTACCAGCTTAGATCCCCACCAGCAGGCGTTAGAGCATCGGTCTTCCACATCCTGGTCAACGTTTTGTATTTTTTCATATTCCTCAGTCCTTCCTGTTTCCTCTTAGTGAAACGGTTGTTCATGTCTTTAGCCTGTTTTTCTATGAGTTCTCTGTCCTTTACTCATGGACTTGTAGAAATACTTTATATATTCTGCTAATCCAACTATTGTCAATGATATGTCCTGCAAACGATTCCATCATTTTGTGGCCTTTTACTTTCCTACAGTATATTCTGATAAACAGAAGTTCTTAATTTTAATGTGGTCACCATAATTAATCTTTTCCCTTAAGATCTGCATCCTTTCCCTACCCCAGAGTCATAAACACATCCCCCTTTATTTCCTTCTAACTCAGGGATGGGGAACCTTTTTGCTGCCAAGGGCCATTAGGATATTTATAACATCATTCATGGGCCATACAAAATTACCAACTTAAAAATTAGCTATGAAAGAAGCTCCTAGATTTGCTGAATTTCGAGTCCTGCCTGTGGTTACCTTGGCAGGGCCAGACCAAATGATTTCTCTGGCCATATAAGGCCCGTGGGCTGGATGCTCCCCACCCCTGTTCTAACTGATCATTTAAATGTCATATACTGTAGGGCTGTTTTTGGATTTCCTATTCTGTTCCTTTAGACCAAACTACACTGGTCGTAATTAACAAAGTTTTATAATAAGTCTTGATTATCTGACAGACAAAATGGAACTCACTCTGAAAATATTTTTAGCTTTAAAAACAATGTAGAGACAGGAACTAGAACTTACTTTGCTCTGGGTTGATGAACTAATCCCGGAATCTCTTTATTCGTTTTAAGTCTTGCATTTGAACTGGCACTTTTTTCCTGAAACACACAAACACATACATGTAAAAGACAACATGAGAATCAGCAATTTAGCAACAGCACCAATTTTCATCACCGAAATGCCAGATGTGTTTGGGACAGTTGGTTACTTCACAGGGACCAAAGTCTTAGCAAAGATGTTACACGGTCCAGGTAGAACTACCAAACATTTTAACAGGGAACGTTGTCATGAAGAGAGAAATTAGCTTTGTAATACAGCTATGACTCTGTCTAGAAAGTAATGTGCAACTGGTATTTGATTTTTAGTTTAAGTTACTGAAAACAGTAAGAATCAAAGAACAGAAGATTCTAGGGTCAAAGAGAGCGGAGGAGCACAATCACAGCCATTGCCTACTTGCCCAGGTTAACTGACTTCAGGGTGTTTTATTTGTAAAAAACAATGGTAGTTACCGAGGCATAAAGTTTGCACCAGGCTCTAGAGTGGCTATGCCTGTGTTTAGTCATGACAAGAGCATGACTAAAAATAACCACCATTTTCCACCCACAACAAACATTGGAATTGGATTCAATTGAATTAATAAAATTCAATACTAGCCTGTATTCAAGAGGCACTCTCTGGCTGTTAGCCTAATCTGATTTCTTATTCCCAGTAAACCAGCAGATGGGAAGGAAACTCTCTCAAATCTTAAAATACCAATATATCAGTAAGCACACTATCTCCATAATACTACGGCTTTGTATTTTTACAGACATTACTTTTTGAAAAAAAGTCAAGGTGCTTTATTCCTTGCTCACAAAACACACCCCTAAAATAAAAGGAAAGACTATTCTAAACCAATTTAAGAAGTTACTATATACACTCAAGGAACCAGAGATGTGGCAATAATTAAAGACCCAGGTTAAGGGGAGGAATGAAACTCACATAGGCCAACGCACCCTTCTCACCACATGCAAAGCGATGTGGGAAGGCACATAAAAGAGACGGTCCCCCGAAAGAGGGGGGGAGAGGGAGAGAGAGAGAGAAACATTTATGTAAGAACACTGATCAGCTGCCTCCTGTATGCACGCTACTGGGGATCACACCTACAACCCAGGCATATGCCCTGACTGGGAATTGAACCAGCAAACTTTTGGTTCATGGGAAGATGCTAAACCAACTGAGCCACACTGGCTAGGGCAAGGCTTTCTTTATTTTAAAAATGTGATTTATTTGGATTTGTTCTTATATTTCCTTGTATCCCTCAGAACAGCTAGTATCTTGCTGCACAAAACATTCATATGCCTACTGGTTAGCTGCATTTGCATCAGTAAGTCAGTTCTGTATTTGCCTATAGACATCATTTAACTTCTACTCGGGGTGCTTATTGGGGAAGGGGAGGTTTAAAGAGATGTCTTAAAAACAAACAAACAAAGAAACAGACAAAGCCAAGAAGAGCTGGAGGAAGAAGGAGCCTGATGGGGCCTCAGATGGACCAGACTCAGCTGAGAGGGCCGTGCCAGGGACAGGAAGATAACTAAACTGGGAAGTGATGGAAGAAGTAACTAAGATATTGCTTCCCTTGGCAAGAAACATCTGAATGGTATTCGACACTTACAAACTAAGAACCTAAAATAAACTAGGATGAAGTAAGACTAAGCTGAAGCCACTGAGAGGGCCCTCAGCAGGCAGTTTATAGAGCAGTGTTGTTTTTTAAAAAATTTCAACGTTGTATTTATCATTTATATATTTATATAAGTATTAATAATATTTATTATATATATCTTAAATTTTATTTACCCATTAAAGTTTGCATTTAACATTATTTTGTGTAGTCTCAGGTGTATGGCGTAGTGGTTCCAGGGAGCAGCACTGTACATGATCCGTTCATGTTGGTATCAGAATCGGCTGGATGTGCATTAAAATACATATCTCCAGACTCCACTCAACCCCCCTGAGTGTGAGTCTCTGGGATCCATGCCCAGGAATCTGCATTTCAAACAAGAGGTCCGGTGATCTGAACTAAAAAAAAAAGTTTAAAAACTTCTATTTCAGAGAAGAGATACCCTTCACGCTTCGGGATACCCCACCGGTTGGTTTTCCACACAACAGTTTTCAAACCAAGCACTGGGGTTCTGCAGAGCTGCCTTGGGGTCAATAGAGAGGCCCAGCAAGGCAGAAACCCCTTGAACGGTTTCCTACTCAGGTGTTCCGTCAGTTGGAAAAAAGCCTCCATCTCTCCAAAGGGTTTGCAAACTAATGTCAGGGAGTGACAGGTTTATTTAAACAGCAAATCAAGCAGCTTTCTCCTCTGCTTGGAATAATCTCATTTCTTCATGAACAGAATATGCTTGTCAGTGTCTAGAGTAAGTTGTCTTCTTCCTAGTTTCTCTGATGCTAGAGACGGTCAACCCACCTGTATTTATGCTGCTGTTCCCCAACACCTGGGTGGCATCTCCCAAAGGGAAAGTCAGAACACCCAGAAGAACTGCCAGCTTCTTTAAAAAATTCTCTTGAACTTCACCTCCCTGTTGGCCAGAGATGAAACCTCTTTTTCTTTCTCACTTTGTCTGTGTTGTCCCACTGAGTCTGAAAGGACTTGGGCAGCGGCAGCCCTGTGAGCTTCCCTGAATTTGTTCTGGGTTGGAAGTGTGGGAGAAATCTCGTTTTCTTTTTCTGGGCCCGGAGGTATAAAGAAATCCCAGGGGCCAGATGGATGCAGGAAGCTGGAGGCCTAGAGAAAAGAAGTGGGGGGTAGGAATAATAGCTCCGGAGACTGCTAACGAGGGATCTACACAGACAAAAGATGCAAGAGCACTGAACATGAACTCTCGAAGCTTCCCACCCTACACACAAACTGTGTTTTTGTGTATATTTGAAACACTTCATTTCAGAAAGTACATGAAAACTAGAAAAGGTTATTTATTAACTAGAATTAGGAGATTTAGGGGGACGCACACATATTTAAAAAGTAGAAGCACATTTGGCTATAAAGTAAATGAGTAATCATTCCAGCTTTTGGGAAGTAACCCACAGAATGCACTCTGTAAGGAAACAGTCTCATTTTGATGTTTTATATGTGATTTCTCAAGTGGTATTAACATGAGTTAGGACACCGCCTCCTTCAAATATAAAGGAATTTTATCTTCTGTCTTTCGAATGATGCTGATCAGCTGAGTCAATAGTCACTCTGTGAGAATTTTTGAATGTTAACAAGTGACACGGCCCAAGCTATGAGGTGCCACCGCTGACCGGGGCCCACCAGTATCACAATGACGTGAAGTCACTTTCTCCGTTATAAATTACCTGGCCAAACAGATTATTAGAATTAGTAGTATTTTGTAAGAATTATCTAGTAGTGATGAGGTTGGCATAAAAAGTCTCCGCTTTATGAAAATTCTTTTTCTATAAATTAAAATACAGCCACGTCTCTTATTTTATATCAAGCAAATGTTATGTGGGGCAAATCAGTTTTAAAGTACTCAATATTTTTCACATAGTTGCTTCTCAAGGTAGATTGAAAATACTTAATATTATCTTTAAAAAGTAAATAGTGCTGTAAGAAATTGCTCAGAACTGATCTAATTGTATACCAACCAATCTAAAACAAAGGCATTAAGATACCACATCACTGATGAAAAGGAGGAAGCTATACTGTTGTTATAAATGACACTGAGAACTCTGAGTTAAGGATATTGTCAACGAGATGATGAATCCCCAAGTTTTTCAAAGAAGTAACATATACACACCCAGAGAATGAATGTATCAGGAAGAACCATATTTGATTCTTGCCCAAGACGTTTGTATCAGTCAGGACAGGGTAGGTTGTGTTGCAATAAAAAACCACCCCCAATATCAGTAGTTCAATAACATACAACTCTATCTCTTGCACATGCCACATGCCCAGGTTGGCAGGAGGGCTCTGCTCATCCTACTCACAGTGGAAATCCATAATAGAGGAACCTCCCGGCCCACTCGTCACCAAGTCACTGTTTAATGGTACTTAAGTGCCAGGCTGTGCTAAGGAACCTGAGATATTACCCTCATCCACTAAAAAACAAGTAAGAAAGTGAACAGATGTTTCAAAGTCATAGAAGTATGGGTGGTGGAAGTGCTTTCGATGACACCTCACTTAGAGGAGGTCAGGGACGCTTCTTGGAGTGGGAACCAGGCAGGGCTGGGTCCAGGGGAGGAATGTACATCCTGGCAGGAAAGGAGAGAACAAGGCACTTGCTGAGAGCCATAAAGAACCTGGTACAGCCAGAGAGAGCCTGGGGCGCCAGGAGGGCATATGAGAGATGCGGGGGTGCCGTGGGGAGGGGCTGGGCCAGGAAGGGCTCATGCGTGGGCATTTGGATTTTCCCAAAATGCCAGAATTGGGTTTCAGAGGTGAAAGCAGAGAGGCAGTCAGGAAGCTGTGTCAGTAAATCAGAAGAGGGTCTATGAAGAGCTGAACTAAGCCAGGAGAGGCCCAGCAGAGCAGATCCCAGGAGTCTGGGCTCTGGGGTCAGACGGCCTCTCGGCTTCCTACTGTGTGAACCCTGAGCAGATTCCACAACCTCTGTGCTTCAGCTCCCTCACTGTGAAATGGGAATAAAAGTAGTACCTATTTCCCTGGGTTGCCTGCTGTACAGGAAGCGCACAACAAATGACAGCTCATAGTAGTAAGACAGCTGTTCTGGGAATAGAGATGAAAACTGAGTTGCCGAGAGAATTACTGAGGTCCACTCCATGCTAGGCACCTTGCTAGATTTTAAGAGAAACAATAAGAAAAAGACAAAAAAGACAAAGAAGAAAAAATTTGCTAATGTCAGAGAAAAAACTCAAATGCTAAATTATAACATGATCATTGATAAGATTTGAGGTCAACTGAACGTATAGGGTAGATGGAAGAGCAACCGGTATAGTCAGAGTGACAGCCCCAGACTTCTGCTTGGCTGACAATTGTTTCTCAGTTGCTATAATGCGTAATGGACGGGTTGATGGTCCAAGTGAAGGTCTCTTTCTGGGCAAACAAAGTAAAGGTGACATGGCTATTAAGGCAGAAACAGGGCTGGGCAAA